CTCTATCCAGTGCGTATTACTTGCTTAACAGCCCAATATTTACTCCCCAGTAGAAGTCGAAGCAATTGTGATGGGAATCGCCGGGATAATCACCAAAATCATAAGAAATTCTATGTTGTTTTGACGGTCTTGATTACTTCGCTCGTCTTTTGACAACAGTCTGGTAACTAACTCACAGGCGAAAGTTGCCCGAAACCTCCACCGCCAAATGTCCAGTTCCTTTCTTGAAATGGATCGTTCGGAAAGGTTCTCGTGGGTGATCGATCCCCATGACGCCATATCTGGAACAGCAAGATGGATACATGACAGTTTTATAGGGAAAACATCGAATGAAGAAGTCTCAAATGTCCTACTACATATAATCCGCTGAGTATAGCTTTCTATGTGCTTGCGTGTTCCTGTGTCACCAAATCCATAGCACCCGTCCCGGGCAACAGCGGAATGAGTGCTCCAAGAAGTGGTATGGAGGGGAGCGGTGGGGAGGGATGGGGCGGATGGGGAGAAGGGACATTGTTCCTTGGTCGGTGACAGGAAATGATAACAACTGACAAAATCCGATAAGGAGCGCTGGAAGAGGAAATCACCGGATCATAGAGCGGGTTACAGTGAGATAGTGGACCTTGGTTCTAGGGGACAATATAGAGGGTGCGACGAGGAGATCGACATGGTGAAAGGAAAAGTTCAGCTGTTGAGACCTGATAGAGCCTGTAAGAAGGGAGATTCTACTAAGTCATAACATAACATGTAGTGGTACTTTGGCTCCAGATTACAGTGGTGCCATATTGCTAGTTCCACAGGTAACGGGCTGTGGGATGGTCATATTGACATAGTATCTGACATTTCCCTATATGCTACCGGTGTTTCGGCACGCTATCTCCTCCCCCTCCCCCTCCCCCTTTCATCCCCGCCTTCGCTCACCCAAAGGGAGCTTGCTTTACAAACATTCGAGTTCTTTTTTATGCACTTTCCTGTTATCGCCTATCTGGAACAATAGAGCAGAGCCGTAATCTATTCCTTGAGGCACCCTGACGAGTCTTGTCATTTGTCGAAAATATCTGAATACCCTTTTTTGAGGTGATTAAGCATTCCGATACTTACTGCTTGTACGAGTAGCAGTTCCATGTCGCTGTCCTTTTCACTTGCTATTGTTGCCCGACACCGACAGAGCAGTACAAACCATAGCATGAAGTTCATGATTTTTATTATAAAGGCTACACCCCTCCTAAAAATTACACATGTGCCTTAAGCTTGAATGTCTTAAGAGTAACGTTCACTTGTATGTAAAATTGTCAATCGTTCATAACAATTAGATTTTCATAGCTAATCATCGAAATAGCAAGATACGTTTCAGCTTATGTATGCCGGAAGCACTCTGAGCGGAAAAATCGAATTTAAAGGTAGCACGACTCAAACCGGCTTGAAGTCCCGACTCTTACCGGAGAGAAAAGCTGTGAGGCTCTAGTGTTAGACTGCGTTCAGATTTCGCAATGACGCGCGATGACGCGCTATAACGTGCTGTGACGTGGATCGACGCGCTACATTCGCAGCTGCAGTCCAACGCTACTTTTTCAGACGACGGGGCTTGTTGAGGAGAACGTGCTTTGTAGTGGGATACGTAGCCTAAGACAGGAGAAGCCCACCTGTGAATCTACAAAACGCAAAACTCTCTGGGTAGAGTACTTTTTAGAGAAACGGAATAAAAACAAAAGGCTTTCACACCGTACAGCATTCGACAATCGTTTCTCCTCGGACGAAGGGGCGCTGGCGTGCAACTTGGCGAGCGCTCCGACGGCTGCGTACCGATGGACACCTGTCACAGCACCCTCTGACATCGACTGTGCGCTGATACGCACGCCTGCGCTACGACTTCTCCGTCTAGACGCTCGCCAATAGATAATGGCTGACGCGCTCAATCAACTGAATTCTGCTGTATCCAGCTTTTAAAGGCTGAAACTATTCCTTGTCAGGCGTTGGTAAGGAAAGGTGAGTATGTTCTAATTAAGCTAAACTTATTTTACATGATTTCAGCATGATTTTTTCCTTGAAATTGGGATTCCTTTCATAATTTTCGCTTTTTTCTGAATATTTCTGGATGTCTCCGTTTAACATCAATGTGCTTGACTGAAATCATGCAGAAATATCATTTAAGTAGAACACACTGCTTATTTTCATCTAGGTCGGGCAGAGAGTAACTTCAACTTCTAGAAAGTGAACACTGCAGAAGTCAGCTGACTTAACGCGTGAGCCGTCACCGATCGGAAAGGGTCTCGACGACAGAGTGAGTAGAAAGCGCGCCGGCGTGCGTTTGATCTCAATATCATTGTGTATCAGCCGCAGAGTCAATGTCAGAGAGCGCAGAGGCTGTGGAGATGATCGCTCCAGACCTCAGCCGTTCCACCGACACGCAGCCGTCGGACCACACACCGTGGACATAAGGAACGCCCCTTTGTCCGCAAAGAACCAGAATGAGATTGTCTGGAATAAGTTCCTCGTCTTCTCTCAGATTTTCATGCAAAGAGAACTTGGAATACGCATCATGCACAAGTATAAAACATTCGTCGTGTTTCTCGCCAGGACATGCAACTCTCAGCCTACCCTGACCTTACCGCAACGCCGTTTGCCTTATGGCTAGTGAAAATGGTAGCAGGTAGAAGCTTGAGCCCTTGAGCTTTTGCAGCTTGCAGCTCGTCCGCGTTACAGCGTTCTTACACCCTGCCTCAGAAGACGGAGTGAGGGGAGGGCGCCACCTCTAACTTCGCTCATCTTTTTCGGTAGAAAACAAAGTCACATCAACACATCAATGAACAGTTTGATATTCAAAGCTGATGACAATTTGAAAGTGATAAAAAAGCTTAGCGCCCTTATGTAGACCATCGAAAGTGAGTAATGAGCTGAGTAGCTTGAGAAGTTAGGCGTCCGGTCATGCCCCTGCGCCGCACCTTTAAAAAGACATTAACCAGATAAAGAAAACTTATAGGAAATGATGGTATTTATTGCGGTGAGTAGTCTTTTTTAGGTTGACATAGTATGTCGCACAGAAAATGTGAATGTCACTCTTGTTTGGTAGTTAGGTTATCATTACTAACTGTTCCCATCTTTTTGACCGTGCTGGGTGGATAACAGTGGATTTATTCCTTCTAGCTCTCCTCTAAAACCACCGTCCTACATAGATAACTGTGACTTTTCGTGGAGAGCACCACAAGCTGAATACGGTGCTATACCCATTTGCTGACTCCATAAAGTCTGAGCAGATAGCCTCAAGTGAATTGTCTACATCCAGCTATGTTCCCATCCGATTGATCGAGTGACTACCAGCCATGAATTTTTCTGCAAGCCGTGTCCATGATGAAAATCTCTCTTATATCGTTGTCAATA